CCGTTGCATTGCCTAGCACATTCACTTGTTCCGAAATACTATACCGATTCCTGGCTTAAAGATGGAGATGGTGTCCAAAGGTTGGCACCACATGAGGATCAAGAAGTCTCGATGAATAGAGTGAAGTGTTTCAAGAGAATTTTCGAAGATCCAAATGATCTTAGAAAAGTGTGTATGGAATATGGGGAATTTTCCAGTGCAACTGGATTATTTAATGATTCTTTCATTAAAGAGGCAAGGGTGTTCGAAGAACCAATCTCATGGTGGGCTAACTACGGATCGAGCGCAAAGTTGTTGCAATCTTTGGCCTTCAAATTACTTTCGCAGCCAGCATCGTCATCATGTTGTGAAAGAAATTGGAGTACATACTCACAGATCCAAAATTTGAATAGGAACAAACTAACGAGTTCAAGAGCCGAGGACTTGGTTTATGTCCATGCCAACATGAGACTCTTGTCAAGGAAAAAGAATTCATATAAGGAAGGACCTTCACGATATTGGGACGTTTGTAAGTTATTTTTATTTGAGTATTCTAATTATTTACTCATATAATATGTTTTCAAACTTATTAATATTTCATTATTTTATAGGTGGAGACAAATTTGATATTGATGGAGATATGAATCAGCTAGCTGATCTATCCATCAATGAACCTGAAATAGAAACGATTACATTTGACAATTCTTTGGATGTGGAGAAGGACGGAAATGATGAGTAGAAAATTAAGTTAAATGTTATTTTCTTTTTTCCTATTTCAATGTTGCATGATTTGAGTAATATATTTGTATTGGAATATTATTGGTTTTTTTTGTTTCAATATTGTACTAGTAATATATTTGTATTAAATTATTATGAATCTAAATTTATAATGATGTATATTAAAATATTTAATTTTATTACATTGACTGCCGTACCCGCGTACCCGTGTCCAAATTTGGGTACGTGTCCCCGAATCTTAACATTTAGAAATATAAATACCGGATACTTGAATATGTACCCGTGTCCGACACCCGTACCCGAGTCCATGTAACATAGCCCGCAGTGCCTAAAGCGCGACCTACAAACTCTCAACAACTCGTGCAGGCGACTCGCGCATGACCCGTTTGTTGTGTGCATGACCCGCATGGGATCTACGTGTTCCCAGTGACCCGTGCGTCCGTCCTTATGCCCCACGTGCTCATAGCATCACCCTATGTTATCTTCCACGAGCAGACTAGAGACCTTGGTCTTCCAGAAAGCATCAGGCACTCCAGCACGCAGAGACTTGACCAGCACTGGCAACCAACAACGTGCACTCTTGAGCACCACAGACCATTAGTGAGATCGGATGACCAACAGCGGTCTGGCATTATTCTGTCGACCCTCTAGAGAGCCCAATCAACCAGTCGTAGACAAAAGGTGAATATTCCCGTATTACTTCTTGTTGGTCCTGAGGGCCGGAGCAGGCTAGGTTAGCCGAAAGATGTTATCGCTTCAAGAAAGTAAGGTTCCCCAGGGTAAGAAGGGGTAGAGAAAATGCCTGGAGCCAATGTTTGAGCACCAGGCGCTACGGTGCTGAATTAAGCCACGCCATACTTCCAGAAAAAGCTCGAACGACCTTTAAACAAAAAGGTCCTATACCCGAATCCAACATAGGTGGTTAGAAAGAAAATACCTAGGGGTGCGAGACAACTCTCTCTAAGGAACTCGACATAATAGCCCCGTAACTTTGAGAGAAGAGGTGCCTCCTCACAAAGGGGGTCGCAATGACTAGTCCTTGCGTCTGTTTACTAAAAAACAAGGTCTCCGTAAAGTCATAAGACCATGTATGGGGGCTGCCTGCTCAGTGCCGGAAGGTCAAGGAAGTTGGTGACCTGACGACAACGGAGTCGGCGATCGAAGCCTCGGTGAACGGCGGTCGTAACTATGACGGTCCTAAGGTTGCAAAATTCCTTGTCGAGTGGGCTCTGACCTGCACGAAAGGCATAACAATCTGGGCACTGTCTCGAAGTGAGGTTTGGTGAAATAGACATTTCTGTGAAGATGCAGACTACCTGTACCTGGACAGAAAGACCCTATGAAGCTTGACTGTTCCCTGGGATTGAGTTTGGGCCTTTCTGCGCAGCTTAGGTAGAAGGCGAAGAAGGCCTTCTTCCATGGGGGATGATGTTGAGGCCTAGTCTGGTAACCCAACAGACTCTGAGGTTCAGACGATCTCCAATAGCAAAAATCAGAAACATTAGATAGTCGACAAAAATAATAAATGATATGCGTTGAGCCCTTGCTACTAATTTCGCTGCGCATAGGGTTTAATTCGTAGATACTTTGTAACTCGCACAAATTGATGTTCTTCATCCATTCCCAGCATATACTTGTTAGACATGATTAGGGTTGTTTAGGTCTTCTATTTAAAGACTCTTACTCTCTTGTGTTTCTTTTTTTTTTCAAAACGATAGAGATATATAACGCGCACAAATGTGCAAAAAGGGCAGCCACCAGCTGAATACAAACAGCTAGCAGTTGAATACAAACAGCCAACAACTGAAAAAGTGGGAGGGTATGTCAAAGGACCGCCTTGAACCGACCCCCACAGGGTAATACACAGTAATACATAAACACTACTAAAAAACACACACACAAAGACCCCAACAGGGTAATGCCCGAGTGTACAATCTAAACAGGATAATAAGGTCACACTTGGGCTAACTGAGGCCAACGGCCCAGACCAAAAACACAACAAAAAAACAACACACAAAGCACAAAACTATCAACAAAACAAAGAAACTACACAATTAAACGAGCCCTTCCAAAGCAGCGACACCTAATCGAACCAGCAGAATCAAGTCGACCATGAATCTCTCAGCCAGAAGCACCAACCCCGAAACTGCCAAAACCACTCGGTTTCCTAGCGGAGTCAAAACACCAGCCCCGAAACCGCAGCAGTCCGACCCGCACCACGGCCAAAACACCAAATTGCCCCGAAACAGACAATAGAGTGCGATGACCCCAGCCTCGACCCCAAATCACCTGGACACTGCCCAAAACCACCAAACTGTTGTTGCATCACCTCGACCAATACTATTGGAAGAAGAATTGGCACGACAACCTCCTTCGATCCAAAATCTGAGTACAAGGAGTGGAAGTCCTTAAGCAGTGGCTCTGCCCTGGTCGGGGCGCCCAACAAAACAAGGTCGCCAAGCAATTGAGCCATGTCCTGCCCGGCTCCACTACCGCATAGCAGAGGGGCCACCAACCTAAATTCACGAACTGACACCGGAAAGACGAAATACCATCCGCTACAGGCGAGGCCCAAATCCATCGAAATCAGAGAGGTGGAGAGAAAAATAAAGGGCGGGATCCAAGCTGCTAAGGCCAGCGACCGCCAGCTAAGCTTGATGGCCGCTGTGGAAGGCAGATGGATTCAAATCGGAGAGGAGACGGCGAGATATGAGAGCGAGGGTTTTTCTTCGGAGAAGAATGTTTTTCTCAATATTTATATATACTCTCTTGCGTTTCAATCTGTTCAATTTGATTTAAAGATGTTTGAGATTCTTTCTCTTGTTTTATCCCTTTCGTTTAAGCTTTTGCTACGAGTAGACTAGTACGATTCACGATGCTGTCGAAAATGAATGATGCTACAGACGACAAGCGTGACGCCGCCATTGATGCATTTGGGTCGACAAGTCACAGATTTGGCCAGGGGCTTCAGTCACCAATTCGATGTGGTGGGTCGTCAAATTGCAGATGGCGGGGATAGAGGACATCCAATTGGCTTTACATACCACTTTAAATGGCAAACAAATGAACTGTGCGACGGATGTAGGACGTGGTGGTCGCAGAGGAATGACCAGTGGATGCAATCGAGGCACACGTGGGGCTCCCCGCTCCCAATTGAGGTGGTGGTACCTTTGACATCACCATATTTGAGGTACTTCCTTTTAGTAATATGGCGTCATAAATAAAGACTACTTCGCCGAGAACCAGAGATGGGAGGCTTATTTTTGGGTCTTAATCTCTGAATTCTCTGGCGGCATAGAAGCTTTCTAGTTCTTGGATGACATGGGGTAGAGCGAATATGAGGGTCCACCTTTTTTTTTATCAAGAGGGATCGACTGAATAAACAGGTTTGGATGTTTTTGTTGTCGAGGAGTTGATTGAGTATGAGGGTCCGCCTCTTTCAGTAAACATTATTCACAATAATAAATCTGGTATGGTCGCAGTATGTATACGAATAAATCATTTATCCCAATTTTCCATCATATATATCATCAATCAAGACTCATGTGCACACCTATATCAATAGACTACTGCTGGTAGACGTATCAAATGCCTCATGGGCTTTTATCGAATGCCCCACAGGCTTATACGTCTAATGCCCCTCGGGCTTCTACACCGAATGCCCCTCGGGAATCTATCGATGCCAGTAGTAGGAGTAAACCCCACGGGTTTCGCTTTATAATTACGGGGATAACGTTTGACGGCCGACACAGCTCACATCGAAGGCCACATATTTCACATACATATATTGATCATACCAAAAGCTGTCATTTATAACATTTAACGCATCGCAATTTCAAATAAAACCCACCTGGATTACGAAGGGATAGCACACAACCAGGGGTAGGCGGCGAGCACGGCTCGTCAAGCACCTACAATAAGTCAAGCTACTACAATCAACATCTATCTTGACTTGGAACGGAATGCACAAATCATACTTAGTCGAACTTGATTCGACTAAGTTGTTCGTGAAGTCCTGTGGACGTTGGAACACTTAGACTCGACTCTAAGACTCAACCAAACACGCATGAGAGTTCACATAATCTCAATCAAAGATTTACCAAGTCAAACAAACAAAGAATAGCATGCGAGTCGGTTTACAGTTTTTAACCCTAAAACTATATTTTTTAAATAAAAGAAGATAAATCACATAATCAAGTTGGTCAGGTTACCGAATGAGTTAGGCTTTGAAATTTTAAACAAAACTCCACCTCACTAGACTTAATAAAACCACCAAATTTCGGCCCTTAACACAAAACACATGATTTTATAAAATTTAAACACGATTTCAGCAAAAACGAGCATAAATTCATAGCCTGGCCTAATGAACGAATCACGAATTGAAATTTTAACACCATATGATACAACATGCGAACAAAATCATGTAAAAGTTTCAGCTATTAACATCTCCACAAATTTTTGAAATTCAAACAATATTCAGCTGAAAATGTATTTTAATTATAAACCTATCATACATGACAAATTAAATTATAAAATTTTACGCTAAGCAACAAATCATAAATAGAGCACGCTTACAAAATTTCAGCAATTTACAGTAATTGATCAATTTTTCATAATTAAAACGATTTTCAGCAGAAAACTACAAATAATTATTTACCCAAGCTAACTAAGTCCAAAAAATTACGAAATTTTTACATAACATCATATTAACATAGAGGAACAACATATTAAAAATTCAGCCATTTTGAAGCACAACTATTTGTTAAGCAATTTATACGATTCTGCCTAGAAATCGAAATAATTAATTAAAATAACTACAGATGGTATTAAATTCTGCAACTTTTACACAACATGTAAAATCATCACAGGAAATCACACACAAATTTCACGTTATCCGGAGTAGCATTCGATTTATTATAGATTTAACAAATATTCAGCAATTAGTTCGGATTCAAAAAATCATAAACGATTCAATACTCGACTAATTCGTCCAAGGCCTTCGCCATAAGGCCGAGGACTCGACAAGGTTCCATTATCCATAGTTCTAACACGAATTCGATGGGATTTTGCACGATATCGCATTAATCGATAAAATTCCTACATAAATGCATAATATATCACACTAAACAACGAGATATTTCCAAAGCCCGACACACACGAAAAACGAAAAGGGAATCATATTTCGGTATAGTTCTCGAGATTAGTTCGCGACGAGAACGAAATGATGGCCGAGATGGGCTGTTCGGAGGTCGGGAGTATGCTCGTCGGGCTTGACGACAACGGCTCGCGGGGTAGGGGGTCTTTTCTTGTTAGCGGTGGCCTAAGCGTTCTCGGTCTTGGTTCTTCGCTGTTGTACGTTGAGGGACTCGTCGGACTGCTGCTCACGCGAAGAATGCTCGCAGGAGATAGCGACCAGCGGTGGTCTTGCAGCCTGGAAGCAGAACTCGTCGGCGGATGGAGGTGTACGACGGTGGTTCTTGCGGTGATGGCCTGCAACATTGAGGTTGTGCGTGGTCTGTTGGTCAGCTCGAAGGTCCGCTTTTGCGTTCACGGTCTCTTCACGCTGATGGCACGCGACAGGGAATCGACGATTAGCGACAGCAAGAATTGGACGGGAACAACTTGCGACGCTGAGGATTGATCGACGGGACTACGCGCGTTGTTTGCGGCTCACGGTAGCAAGGAGTAATGAAATGTGCTTGTTTGCAGCTCGCCGGAAGATCAAGAACTTCGGGTTGCTCGTGTTGAACGATGATGGCGAGAGGGATTATGGTGACGAGAGGTAGGCGACAGAAATTTTTTCTCAACAAAGGGAGAGAGACGATAGGAAAAAGGAGTAGATTATTGATGTCTGCGGGTAGTTGACGAGAGGTGAGCGATTTCTCTTTTTCTTTTCTGCTTATCGATCAAGAGAGAGATGATAGGTTAGGGGTTTGATGTCTGCGCAATCATAAAAGAAGAGAACTGAAGGGGGTGACTACGCGACAAGAAAGAGAAAGGGTAGGGTCTAATCCTTATTCAAATACTTAAGTTGCATATTCTTGCCAAACAAGCTAAGGGAAAAGAAGGGCCGAGTTCGGGGCTCACGGGCCGGGGATTCTCGATAATTAAATACGAGGCTCGATTCGATCGCACAAGGATAAAGTAAATACGGACATAAATATATATATATAATACACACATTAATATTTATTTAATTAATAATAATAAGCAATAAGGCAAATAAACAATTAAGAACATTTCGACAATCAATAATAATATATTATTAAAGCATAATAAATATAATAAATATTTT